GCATAGCGATGGTTATACAATAATTATCTATATTTTTTTACTCCGGCTTACTTATGCGGTTTGTATTATACAGGCAAGACTATAGAGCTGCATAGGCTATAGCTGTTCCATAGCTTGGACACCTGAAGTAAGGCAAGTATATTTTCTATTAATTTTACATCTATAACAGGTGGTAAACCGATTTGGTGCCGGTTTGTTTAATGTCCCAGCGTGAAATGAAACAAATTGGTACGAAAATTTACATAGACAATAAAAATAATCTTAATGTGCCAAAGGCTCAAATACCATTAAAACTCAAATAACAATATTTGGTTTTTCGTTGGATATATTAAAATATTGTATGCTAAAAATAGTTACAGAACATATTTGATGCTAATTTTTTGTCTTTGAATACTTAACGAAAAACATTAAGTCAATCAGGATCACTCCTTATTTCTTTTAGAGATGTCCAAATCTCACTTGGTCATTATAAGCTAATATTCTATTCATTTCATTTTTATTCTCCCCTCATTGCCCGCTAATATTTTCATTCAATTTTTCATCAAAATCAACAATTCGTTACCAGTTCAAAAACCTGTAAACCTTTTGAATACTAAAATAAACTACGTATATATTATTCACCATTAATATTTAACGTCTCGTCAAAAATTAAACATACCGTCAAATGGAACGTTCAATAAAATAATTTGAACAGAAATGTGTATTTGACTGGCGTTTGTTTGTCGCAGATCGGCAGCATTTTGTTTTACGCAAATTAAACATTCACTCGTTTATCTCCCGCCTGAACAAACGATGTATTGATAATGAAACGGAACGTGCTTTTTACCTTTTACTACAGAATTACATAAATTAATGTGTTGGAAAAGAGGAGATTTATATAGAATTTTAACAAAATTGACCGGTGATTGTTTTTTTTTTCTAATATGTAATAATTCTTTTGAAGTTTCCATATTTAAAGCCTATACTAATACAAATTGATAACACTTAAAGCTCGTTAATGGCTACTAAACAAATTATAATGACGGATAAAGTAATGAAAATCGTCTATACTTACCAATATTATAAATGTGAAAGTAACTCTGTCTGTCTGTTACGCTTTCACACCTAAACCGCTTTATAATTTTGATGAAATCTAGTGTAGAGATAGATGGTACCTTAGAAAAGGACATAGGCTACATTTTGTGGCGTACGCTATACATAAAACTTAAAGTGGGTGAATTAAGCCTATAAAAGTCAGTGATATCTATACTTATATTATAAAGAGGCAGAGTATGTTTGTTTGTTTGCTTATTTGTCTGAACGTGCTAATCTCAGGAACTATTAAACCGATTTGAAAAAATCTTTTTGCATTACATAGCCCGTTTATTGAGGATGGCTATAGGCTATATATCATCATACTACATATTACCCAAGAGAACACGGGAGAAACCGTAGGACACAGCTAGTCTTATAATGAATATGAAGGAAGCGAGTGTGGAAATATTATTGTAAACAAAATAACCCTAGGAGCGACCCGAACAAAGTGAGGTAAGTGACTTGTATTATATAAAAATATAATATATTATTTGGGTCCTTCTTGTTATTTCTTCTGCGTTTATATGCTCAGGCATGATAATTTAGGCATGTTTCGCCAAGGGAATAACAGCGATGTCGTGTTTTACGGATGATTGATGATATTTTGCATTATATGCAACCTTGATGGTTTTTGTTGAAGGGTTTTTAGGTTTCTTCGAAAAATAATACACATGTTTACTAGAACAAATACCTATAGGAACTTTTTCTAAATTATATACATATAATAATAAGTGACTGAAAAGTACTTATACTCGTAACGTTTATATTCACACATGTTCTAATTGAGTTGTTTAGAGTTATTTTGAATACCATAATTCGGGACGTTAAAATTTATAATACTTTCTTAGATTTACGCGAATAATCGACTTTTTAAATAAAACTATCTTTTCGGATTTTTTCGCGGATTTATTTGGATTTTTGGTTGCCGACGTTTCGAATGCTTTACAGCATTCATGGTAACGGGAGAGACTGAGGTGTTACATGTCTCTAAGGTATATATATATATATATATATATATATATATATATATATATATATATATATATATATATATATAGTTGTTAGAGACAGCCTACCCACAAATAACAAAATCAATTCAAAAAATTGCAAAATGGCACCAAAGTACCTTACAATATTTTTTAACTTTTAAAAATATTATATTATTATAAAATGCTGAATATCTGATGGCTGAATATCGTACAATGTACATGAATACAAATCCACCCTTTCGATTTGCTCAAGTAAATTACGTCTATACAAATATTTGTAATAGACGATAATTCGCTACATTACTTATTTACACGAAGCTATAACTACAATAAAACTGACACAAACACAATTTTGATAGACTCAATAATAATCTTACCTATTCCACTTTTTCATGCGTGCAAACCGACAAAGGTCAATATCAAAAATCTAGAATATATATCAAAATAAGATATTGCTATCCATCTTTCATATGAATAAATATAAAGAAACTTATGTGGAACGCTAAAACAAGTCAGACCCAAACATAAAATATTTTCTTTGTGCGTGACATATTTTATGGAGAACATACGTAACCTCACAAACATTTGCCCAGTAATGTTGACACATATTAAAATTCACTGGCAAAACTAGGAGAGAAATGCTTCCGTTTTTATCATTCTAATCTATCTATAATAATGTATGTATGTTTGTCACCCCTTCACGTCGAAAGGGCTGGACAGACTTTAATGAAACTTAGAAGGTACAGATCGAAATGGCATGGAGTATCATAAGCTGGACATTGCTTAGGTTAGTAATTAAATTTTTGAAACGGTAACGCTGCCTATATCTAATATTATATATATAATAAGCACATAGAAAACATAAAATATTTAATTGTTAATACGAGTATATGTATCTCAGAATAAATAATCTAATATATGAATATCTCGTGTCACGGCGTTTTTGGTCGCACTCCTCCGAAACGGCTAGACCGATTTTAATGATATTTATTTGGTATATTCGGTAGGTATGAGAATAGGTCGTTAAGTATTTTTCATCCTCCTACCCTCACCCCCCATTTTTAAGTAACTAGGGCGAACTCGAGCGGAGCAAGGGTGAATCGCTAGTTTTAGAAAAAAAAATATATTACATGATTTTAATTATCTGACAGGTACTTACCGGCACTGTATATGTCAAAACTCGGGCGTGTATATTTAACAAGGACATGTTTTTCATTTTAAAAAGTGCAAATAATACCAGCTTACTGCTCCCAAAGCAAAAATAAATTAATTAGGTCGAATCATTAACCTATGAAGGATTATTTTCCGTTTGTTCGAATGTTCCGTATAAAATTATAACATTAACACTTTATGTATCACTACAATATGATTTATAAATAGCTTTAACATCGTATATTAATTAAAGCTTCAATCAATGGACATCAAGTAACAATCTCTTATCTATATAAAATGGCTGCCTTTGTTTATCCACGTTTATTTTTAAGTTAATATAGGATACTCATCATGAATACAAAATCAATGAGAATTATAAAACAAAAGTATTCTAATCTACTTATAGTTAAATCTTCTTTTGAATTCTTTCGACGACACGTTTGGCTCAGTTTGTAATGCTCTACTTGCAGTGCCAACGGTCGCAGGTTCGAGTCCCGCTAGGGGCATTCATTTGTGTGATGAGCACAAATGTTTGTACTCCAGTCATGGGTGTTTATATTTATAATACGTGCGTATTTAAAATTATATATGTAGTGTATCAACTATCTGGTATCCATAACATAAGTTTCGTAGCTTACCATGAAACTAGATGGTGCTGTGTGTTAATGTCCCAACATATTTATTTATTTAAAACTACGAAAAGAATATGGAAGAAATCTTAAGATATCCAATAAATATCATCACCGTCGTTAAAATATGTATATGTAACTAATTGAACAACAAAAGTGAAAACAGAACAAAAACATTTATGTTATATTTTATAAAGTTTTACATTGTAATAAATTTATTAAATATATTATCATTATTAACATAATAAGAAAATAGAAAAAGTCCTAATCAAAATCGAAAAAATGGCCCTTTTAATATCAAGCGTAGTTGTTGTAGCTGTGGGAATAAATATATATATTATTTTTATTATTAGTATTTTGATGATATACTTATACCTGTTCTGACTTCGCCTGGGCTTGACTTACACGCCATCTATCGTTTTCGGAAAAACTATTGGAAACTTTCACTAGATCTAATATTAAATGCCCATATAGATATTTATATTGAACAAAAAATTTCACCGACATTATACATATTTGTATATAAATATTGTTTGTTGTATATAAATATTAACTGCCTCGGTGGTGTAGTGGCTAGCATGTACGGTTGCACACCCGGAGGTCCTGGGTTCGAGTCCCGGGTCGGGCCAAGTTTAGTTATTGAGTCTTCCTGTATAGTAAGTCTCAGTAACAGCCCGGAGTTGGGAAGTTGGCGGTGTTTCACCCCCGTGCCTCGGAGAGCACGTAAAGCCGTCCGTCCTGCGCCTTAACTCTCACCGGTCGTGTCGAGTGGTCGTCCCACCGGAGTATGAGAGTGATAGGAATAGAGAGTGCACTTGTGTCTGCGCGTACACTTGAGCACTATAATATCTCCTGCGCAGTTGGCTAATCTCATTGAGATTGGCCGCCGTGGCCGGAATCGGCTAGGAGAACATCATCATCATATAAATATTAGGCACATATTATGTTAAATTGAATCATATTATTTTTGATCTTTAATTTGAGTAATAGAGTGGTTGAAATGAAATATGATAATAAGTGTTTGTTACACAAGAATCTGAAATAATGTAACTATAAAACATTCTAACGCCTCCATAATCCATCAGAATATTAAAAAAAAAGTATACGAAACAAAAACAAATTTTAATTGAAAATCTTTATTTTACTTATTACATTAATTACAACTAATTAGGTCGCTTTGAAAATCTGAACCATTCAGTTCTAAAGAACGACGCATTTGTAACCTTGACTCAGTAAATAATTGACTAGAAAAATTGTGTCTGAAATAAAAATACGCTATGCTAAGTGTAACAATAATCAATATTATAACTAGGAAAAAAATAATAACTATAGATAGAGTTGAATTTTCTGCTGATGTTTTATTGATTACTGGTTCACCTTCATTATCTTCATTTGTAAAATTGTTATTGTCACCACATTTTATTCCATACACATTGTCTTCGTGGAAGATTTTATCTATAGAAGTTATTTCTACTGCATGAAAAGCTAAGGTAAGATTAATTTTACCAATATTGCGAACTATTTCTTTACACGACACAGGATTTCCACCTATACTTATAGAGCTTAGTTTAGGCGCCACACTTAATAATCTGTCAATATCGAGTACTTTTATTTTATTAAAATCTAAAATTATCTTTTTTAATTCCGAACATTCATGAAATATGTCAACATCTAGTTCACGAATGTTATTTTTCGAAATATCAAGAACTTCTGTTCTATGTAAGCCCTTAAGACTTCCATATCTTAAATTAGACAAACTGTTTGAAGACATGTTGAGAAATTTCAAAATTTTTATACTTTGAAATGTTCCTGGTAATAGTTTTGTTATATTATTACTACTGATATCGAGATATTGCAAAAAATCCAGATCGTGTAAAAATGAACTATCAATCACGTTTATTGCATTTTTACTAATATCTAAATTTATTAACTCCTTAAAAAAACTCAAATTAATATTAGAAATTTCGTTGTCAGATAGACTCAAATCCGTTAAATCTGATAGCGTATTTGTAAAGTTGTTATTGAACGATTTTAGCTTATTGTGAGAGATATGTAATGCCCTAAGACTGCGCATGTGTTCAAATAATTCCCCAGTTATATTATCAATTTTATTGAAAGATAAATCTAAATATATAACACTGGACATGTTAAGTTTTGGAAGACTATCCATATCATTATTATTCAGATAAAGAGCTTTTAGATTTTGTAATGTACTGTTAACTTCAAAATGTTTTAATCTATTATGTGAAATATCTAAAGAATACATATTATTCGTGTCCATAAAATTCTTTGGTGCAATTTCATTTATGACATTGTTTGAGAGATTCAATCGTACTAAAACTGGCAATTTCACAAAAGCCATCTCTTCTATTTTGCTTATGTTTAAATTGCTTAAATCTAAGTATCTTAAATATTGTGCAGGGCTTAATGTGTTAGATTTTATTACTCCTGTTATATAATTTTTAGTTAAATTAATAAATTGTAAATTTAGTAATGGTAAAGAATTTTGCTCGATTACTTTAATTTTGTTCATAGATATATCTAGCTTTTTTAACTGTGTTTGATTGTTAAATGCATTAGTAAAAATTATAGATAGTAAATTATCGTTCAAATAAAGCTCTGTTAAATTTGTTAAAGAATCTTTTAGAAAATTCAAATTATCAATTTTGTTATACGATAAAGCCAGAATATTTAAGTTATTTAAAATACCAAAACTGGCATTTTCAATAGTAGATACAAAGTTATTACTCAGATTCAAAAATCTTAAAGCTTTCATATCAGAAAAGGTACCGTCCCTTATTATTGTTATGGATTGATCACTCACAGTCAGATCTTTTATATTTTGCAATCCAGAAAATGTCGTTTTAGTGATTTCCCCAGTTATGTTATTTTTTTCCAAACTAAAATATTCAAGGACATTATGTTTAAAAGCGTCAGCTTGTATTTTAGTAATACAATTTTGTTGAAAATCCAGGTAACGTAATTTAACATTATTTATAAACATAACGTTTTCTATTATTGAATTTATTTTATTATTTTTTAGATCTACTACTTCTAAATTAAAAGCTTGATTGAAGCAATTTGATTCCAAAGTTTCTATTAAATTGTTAGAAATGTTTACATATATTAAAGAAGTGACACGATTTAGTTCAAAACCTGATATTTTTGTCAATTTGTTGTAAGACAAATCTAAATAATTTAAAGAACTTAAATAAATCAAACTACTGTTGAGATTGGTCAAATTGTTATATTGCAAATAGAGACTTGTTAAGTTTTTTAAATTCTTAAAAAGATCTTGTGGAAGTAACGTGATCTGATTGTATTGCAGATATAATATTTCCAAATTACTCAACAGATTGAACAAGTCAGGTGGAAAATTGTCAATATTATTGTGTGATAGATCCAACTCTCTAACTTCAGATTCTTTAGCATCAGATGTCAAAAACGAACCTGAGTTAAGTTCTTGTATATGATTCGTGGACAAATTTAATTTCTCAAGAAGCAATAAATTTTTAAACGCCATACTTTTTAGATTTCTTATATTGTTCCTTGACAGATCCATGACTTTAGTTTTAGAATAATACCTAAAACTCCCTTCTGCTATCGTTGACCAGCTATTGTTATACGCTACGATTTTCCGAACACGTGAATCGAAATTTGTTGATCCGAAGAAGGCAGCACTAAGGTTTTCAGCAATTGAATCTTTTACAACAAACGTGACGTTCGGCTCAAAGTTACAAGTGGGGTTTTGCGCGCTGCCGCCGTAAATTTCACAAACCACTAAATATTCACATGGCGATCTTTCATTTGTTTGATAAATAATACTACACTGATTAGTGGAAGTAACGTTCACAAACGTTGATGTAAGGACCGCCAAAACTGAAATAAATATAACAGTTTATTGAATACCTTTAGCTTAGAGTAACAAAAATATTTTAAAATAAGCTATTTAATTAGAAGATCATTCTATTTAAAATGCATAAGATGTTATTTTATTGAATTATTTCCCCAGTTTATCATTCACTATCCTGGCTTACCCTCGCCGGGCTTGGGTGCATACATATGTGCCTTTTTAGCAAACTTTATGCCTATGCATTTCTCAGGTCATAACTGTATCTATGTACAAAATTATTCAAATCTCTTCAGCCGTTTCAGAACGAAGGATGAACAAATACACACGTATATAGTAGATATATAGACACTTGATGGACACTACACAAGAAATACATAAGATATAAATATACATAAAAGAGCAGTATGATTTTATATCATAGTTTCCCACACCACATTCTCACTCATTATAAAAAAGCTACGGGACAAAATTTCGTGGAACACAAAGAAAAATCTAGAGTGTTTGTTAATATTTATTGTTATATATTATTATTTTCAAATACAAGTATGAAATATCTATATTTCATACATATTGTATATACAATATACATATTATCTTCTTTATTGCTTTTTTACTTAATTTAAAAGAAACATAATACTTACATAAAAATATTTTGTCCTCCATTTTAAAATATTGTTTTTATTAACATATTTAACAACGAATTACACTCGCGCGTATTTATCAGTTATCATAAATGAACAAACAGCTTTGTTGGCAGAACTTTGTTTGAATGATTCATAAATAATTATTGTTCCTATCGCTTTAGAGTCCCGCAGATTTTATTTGGGTGTAAATAAATTTATTTTTACAAGCATCTGCAATGACTTTTTGGATCTTACTTACTCGAGGCTCGAATCCTGGACTATCCACTAGACCAATTTTACAATACTATTCATTTTACAAATGCTAATGTTTCAAATTAGCATACGTTTTGTTATTACAAAATTACAATATTATTGTTAGAACACGCAGTTTATACCAGGAAAGGAAGGAAAAACACGGACTCTGAAATTGTTATTTTTATTCGAAGTTCGTTTCCATTCTAATTAAATAGCGAAAATTGTAAATTAGCGCTAATCCCGTGTCACATCAGTTAAAGTAGACGTGCTTATCACTACATATTATAAAATAATTTTTTCCCCACCGCGTCTGTCTGTCTTTTTGTTTGAACGCAATAAACTTAAGAACTACCCAACGGATTTTCTTACGGTTTTCACCAAGGGACAGAGTGAGTCATGAGAAAGGTTTATATGTACAATTCATTAAGGTATTATTTTAAAAAGACCTTTTAAATTGTACGCGCCCAAGCAAAGCAAGGGTAAGTCACTAACTAGTAAATATCTAATATTAACAACATGACATTTGTCACATTGTTTTTTAATACACTAAATAGACACTTTATTTTCAAATCAAATCAAATCAAAATATTTTATTCAGCATTAAATTATTACAATTTTTTACTGAACGTCATGAGTCTACTACCAGTTCGGAAAGAAGAAGCCTCAGACCCGAAATGAACTGGCGAAAGAAACTCAGCGGGACCAATATAATATATTTAAATAAAATTTATATATATTTTAATCGTTACTATATCTTCTATATCACTTACGATAAGGAAAATTAGAAGACCTCCTATAGTTCTTTGAATTTTACTTCACAAATTCACGATTATAATATATTATAATCCTATTTTTGTTAGATTTTTTTTTTATGTAATGTTTCTGTAAATGTGTACTTTATGTTACAACATATTATATAATAAATTTTGTCTGGTAATTGCTTCTATAAATTTTTGATGCGGATTTATTCTCATTATACCTACACGAAATGACGCGTCGTCATATTTGAGTGAACAAAATTATTTATAGTTTTAACAATACTTTAAATACATAATTCATTTTATATATATGTAACTTGGATGGATTTGGATGTATTTTAGTAGCTACATAGAGAGACTATGAGTTAGAGTAATGCAAAGATGACAATTAGTGACAAAATTTGCCACAAAGTGGCGCGGCCTGCCAAAGCAAGGGTAAGTTTTTAGTATAATTATATAGGTGTCACGTGGGTACCTCTAAATGCAGGAATAAATAGCCAAGATCGCTCTCTAATCATACACTACGATGCCCTTGCACAAGAGTACAAGCTAACAAACAAACACTCTATTCATAATATATGTATAATAAGCTGCTAAGATAAGCGATAGTATCGCTTCGCTCTGGAACGTAATGAATGCTTGACAGTAAATTATATATTTCTTCAGGTAAGAATATAACCTATTTGTGTACTAAATTTCACCTAAATCCCTTTAGCCGTTTTAGTGTGTAGAAATAACAAACATACGAACATACAAACTTTCGCATATATAGTAGTAGTAGCTAGATTAATTATATAAAAAATGTATCTATTTTATTACGGAACCAATCTGCTCGATATTTTAGCATGCTTAGTACTTGGCAGTATAACCAATATTCATTCATTATTGTGATCAAGAAAAAGTCATAGAGTATCCATAATTCATCTATACATATAATGAAGTTGTAACTAAGCCGAATCTGTACATTAGATATTTTTTGGAAAATCTTATTGAAATTTACATTATTATCGATACAGAGGACGAATCTATAGTTTATAGAATTTTTGTCTGCCTGTCTATAAATACTGGAGGGATATTGATGAAATAAATATAAAATAATAAATATAATAAATAAATAAATAAATAAATAAATAAATAAATAAATAAATAAATAAATAAATAAATAAATAAATAAATAAATAAATAAATAAATAAATAAATAAATAAATAAATAAATAAATAAATAAATAAATAAATAAATAAATAAATAAATAAATAAATAAATAAATAAATAAATAAATAAATAAATAAATAAATAAATAAATAAATAAATAAATAAATAAATAAATAAATAAATAAATAAATAAATAAATAAATAAATAAATAAATAAATAAATAAATAAATAAATAAATAAATAAATAAATAAATAAATAAATAAATAAATAAATAAATAAATAAATAAATAAATAAATTTGGTAGGGTGATAGCTGGTTATTCGGGTCAACATAAAGGATACTTTTTACCGCGGGAAAACATCTCATTTTTTTAAAAATATACAAAAACTACAATGTAAGAGTATATTAATTTGTAAAACTTAAGAATTTTGTTTTTGGTCATCTGAACGCGGACTGAGCCGCGGGTAATGCTAGTTTGAAATAAATTTATTATACTTTAACATAGAAGAACAAAAACTGTTCTAAGGATAGTTTTTAAAAATTAAAATACTTTTTCTAATATTAACACGTAATAATTTTATCAGTAAACAAAATAAATATACTCGTTTGTTCTTAATGATTGATAATATTGTTACGAACATTCTCATACATATTTATTAGAGTATTATGTTTCAGTCAAGTTATTAAGGCACTGTGTTATTACTTATAATATATCATTTTAGTAACACGCTCGAACAGTAGTTTTGTATTATAATATGTTATTTTTATATATAATTTAAATTGTTCTTAAAGGAAACATTTACATCGGCTAGGTTTTGCTTTTAGTTCGAACTGCGTATTTTATCGTATATTTAACCCGTACATATGGTTGGAGCGTACAATTTTCTCATAAAATTTAGCTATAAAACGCAAAAAGAAGTTTTCAAATCAGACAACTAGTTCTAGAGATTAATAATAATAATAATAAATGTTTTTATTTCAGGCTTATTCGATTAGCGCGTATAAATATTTTTTTCAGTTTTATAATTTATTATTATAAAAACTGCCGACCCGCTTCTACTTGCCAAGCACTTCTACTCCACATGTCTATTAATTGTAGTTTATTGCACTTATAGCCAATACCTTACTATAAAGTTTCAAGTTTCATCAAAATCTGTTTAGTACTTTTGTGTGAAGAAGTATCAAACATACAGCCATACATCCTTGTAAACTTTTGCGTTTTTAACATTATAAACAAAACATACTAGTACATATAAGTAAAAAATTACATACTTAAAAAACACGAGAAAAATTAAAATTATATGCCACACTTATAATTTTTTTCCACACTTTTTATTAAGGTCGGTTAAAAATAAAACAAATTCGACTTCATGCCACTCCTGTTCTATTAGCGGAAGCTTTTATCGTAGTATCCGTGCGATAATAGCTCGAACAATGAACAAGAAGTGTCCACTGCAACTCGGTTTCGATCTGACTTCAACATATCTTTTACAACAGTTTGGACAATTTTTAAAAATATAATTTAAAAACTTTAAAACGCTTTAAAGCTATTTGTTACTTGAAGCTTTTTTCCAATTTTACATATTACATTACATACGGTCATATAACAGTATAGGATAGTAAATATTGGTTTATTTTTGTGAATTTTAGAGGCAAGTGCGATAAAATACTTCATCCCTACGTCGGATATTGCAAGTTTAAATGCATTTGGAGTAAATATTTACAATAGCTTTACCACTTACAAATTAAATGTTTTTTTTCCATATTATTCTACTTTACTCAATTATAAATTATTGTATGGGCCAAACAAATATTAAAACAATGAAGGGCCAAGTAAAATTGAGCTGTTAAAGGCGGCTATTTTCTTTCCATACAAAAGCATGGAACAGAATAAGAATATATTTTATTAATCTATGATTATAAAATAATGAAAACAAATCTATATAATCAAAAGAGAAGAAATAAACTTAATCACGACTGTTACTAGCATTCTCAAAATCTTTAGTCAGACTAAATTTCAACTGTGAGCCGGGAACGATAAATAAATGAGGTGTTTGTACCAGCTTTGTTTATTAGTATTGCGGTCCAAGTCTGTTGTGGATGACTCTTAGGGGGAAAATTGGCTGAATCTACGCAATATAATTAAGAACCTAGTGGATATATACAAAGTGCGACAGGGGGGCAGTTTCTCAGAAACAGGATGGCAATATTCATACTTCATCTGAAAAACGGCCAAGGCGATGTGATGTGCATGGCACCCTCTAGTGTGCGGACTTCGGGCAAACTCAGAATTTGGTTTTTAAGCTACCAATAATAAATACTAAATTGATAATAATAATAATAAATATGTTGGAACATTAACACACAGCACCATCTAGTTCCATGGTAAGCTACGAGGCTTGTGTTATGGATACCAGA